TTTCTTCCCCCTACTGATGCTCGGTTTGAACTGCAGGAGATTGTCTTGACCATGTCTACATGCCTAAATGCACTGATTTGCCGCCATGTGATTGGCTGCTTAGAAATTAAGTGTTAATGAGCAGTTGGACAGGTGTACCTAATAAAGTGGCCGGTGAGTGTATAATCTAGTTACTACATAAATTAGACCAGTAAAGAGTGATGATGATGATGATGATGATAATGATGATGATGATGATGATGATGCATAGCGAAGGAGTAGGATGCAAAGTTCCCACTTCCACCCACCTTTTTAAATACTGTTGCTTATCTGGATAAATAGACTCTTATCATTACTGAATTAGGTAACATTTGTCTTCTGTCTCACCAGGTGAAACCCCAGCATACCATTATGGTACCCATTACTCATCCGCCATGATTGTAGCCTCCTATCTGGTCCGGATGGAGCCTTTTACACAGATCTTCCTCAGACTTCAGGTGTGATCCAGTCTCCCAGATCCTCTCCTCTGTATCTTTCCTTTTATCTTTAGGCATCTTTCAAGCCTTTATCACTCTGTTTAACACCATGGTAAATAAAATAACGCCATCCTTGCAAAGAGGTATAAGTGTTAATAATAAGTTTCATTTACAATAAAAGTGAAAAATGTCTTTAACTGTTATGTTTTGTTTATTCATAGAAATACATTTAATTGATCTAGGAAGGTGCGTTTTTCATGAACAAGAGGAACTAGAGCAGTAATGTAAAATTTGCTTCATTTGGAAAAAGTGTGAAAAAAGCAGTCTTTGAAGAGGAGCAGAGGGAAAATAAATATTAATTTCCGTTGAAGCCTTATTCTATTGGTAGCTTAACCTAATATTACTGTTACTAGTTTTACTGGTTACAAACAGTTGGAGTCTCATTTGGAGACTGGCTGCAGACAGGACAATTGTTTATTTCAATATGACAGCCTTTCATGTTTTGTGACTGATAGAAATGTTCACTTTTCAACAAAATAACAAATTTACAGTAAATTGTTTACTGAATGAAATAAAGCAGAACAAGAATTTGTTGCTTTTCTTATGGGGTGACGGTGCTGATATCCTGAGTGATGCATTGGTCTTTATCCATGTGTGATTCTCAGGGAGGTCACTTCGACCTGGCTGACAGGATGTTCCACAGCGTCCGAGAAGCGTGGCTCTCTGCCTCCAAACACAACATGGCCGACGTCAAGGAGCTGATTCCAGAGTTTTTCTATCTGCCTGAATTCCTGCTGAATTCTAACAACTTTGATCTGGGTGGGTGATCCGGGAGTCTGCTTTCTGTCAGCTGCTCTCAGCTCTGATTTAACCTCTCCTGTTATGTCTTGCTTGGGCCTCCAGGTGCCAAGCAAAATGGCACCAAGCTGGGTGATGTCATCCTCCCCCCCTGGGCCAAAGGTGACCCCCGGGAGTTCATCCGGGTCCACAGAGAGGTAGGCCACCCCCCACACCATCTGAAATATCAGAGACAGTGTGAAATATTAACCCTTGTTGATATATTAACTTACTTTCAGGCTCTGGAGTGCGACTACGTCTCTGCTCACCTCCATGAGTGGATCGACTTGATTTTCGGCTACAAGCAACAGGGACCGCCGGCTGTAGAGGCCGTTAATGTCTTCCACCACTTGTTCTACGAGGGTCAGGTGGACATCTACAACATCAACGACCCACTGAAAGAGACGGCCACCATTGGCTTTATCAATAACTTTGGCCAAATCCCCAAACAGGTTAGAAACCCGCTCCCTATTTCACTTCTGGCTGTCTGAAATAAGCTTATGTTGATCATTTCACACTGCTGTTACTGTAATAGATGCTGAAATTAAAATTTTTGGCGGATTTTTCTTTATTTCAGCTCTTTAAGAAGCCTCATCCCCCTAAACGCGTTCGCAGCAAAGCTAACGGCGACTTAACAGCTGCTCCTCCGAGCTCCAACAACGACAAGATCTTCTTCCATCATCTGGACAATCTAAGACCTTCTCTTGCTCCTGTTAAAGGTCAGCATCATCTCCCTCACATCACGACTAAAAGGCAATGGAAAATAATATTCTTCATGTCTGGATAGGATACATAGGTTACGTCCACCATTATCTTAAAGTCTGTGTTTTTTTGGCAAGTTTTTCTATTTAAGGTCCCACTGATGTAAAAAAAAAAAAAAAAAACATCTGACAAAAATATTGTGTTTTGCATTAGCACACTCATTTTTTACCAAATAAAAGATTAAAAACTTTGGAAGTGTTATCCTGGAAAAGATTGGAAAATATGTTGGAACCCTGTCATAGATCTACCTTCAGTCAGTATTTCAGTAATAATAATAATAATATTAAAGGAGGAATAATGATGCTGAACAGAGAAGTAGATCATAAACAAAACTAAAGGGTTTCCACAGGTTACCTTCAATGCATAAAATGGTAATGTCCAAAAAGCTGCAAAAAGCTTTGAAAAAATGAGCAGGAATCAGTGACAGAAGAAGGCGGCCATTTTGAAGAACATGTATTTGTATTTTTTTCTCTTTGGGCTGCTCAGTGGAGAAGTAGTTAGCACTACTTCCTTGCAGCAAGAAGGTTTTGCACCAAGGGTCTTTCTGCATGGAGTTTGCATGTTCTCCCTGAGCATGCGTGGGTTCTCTCTGGGTACTCCAGCTTCCTCCCACAGTCCAAAAACATGATTGTTAGATTTAATGGCTCTTCTAAGTCTCGTTAGGTGTGAGTGTGTGCATAAATGGTTGTTTGTCCTGTTTGTCTCTGTGTTGCCCTGTGATGGACTGGGGACCTGTCCAGGGCGTACCCCGCCTCTCGCCCGTAGACAGCTTAAGATGGGCACCAGCACCCCTCGCAACCCCACTTGGGATAAGCGTGATGGAAAATGGATGGATGGACATTTGTATCTTAAAATATTTTCTGTTTTAGTTAGTTACCTTCATGTCGGATGTTCTAGATGGTTTGACAGTTTCTGTGTCAAATGTTAAGAATTATAGAGCAAAACCAAAATGGAAAAAAACCCAAATATAAGCAAATACAATTTTACTTTTACAGAAAAGACATGACATTATTTAAGGAAGACTGAACCAGAACTACAGGATGACATAGTGCGCTCATAAGATAAAAGGATAAAAGGTCGTAGGAAAATCTGCTGCTGAGATTTAGCCGATTGTGCTAAATGATCCTCTGGTTCTGACCAGCATTGTTCTTCTCAACACAGTACTTTACAATAGAAAGCTCTACTGACCAGAAGCAGCTAAAAGTCTTTTTATTAACCTAATCTAACCATGGTTTACCTGTTAGAGCTCAAAGGCAACACAATAGTATAGCATCAGACCAAGGTCGGCATCTTTCAACACAACCACTCTTTGGTTGCACCTCTTCATCATCATTGACTATCAGAAGTTTCAGATTATTAGCATCAATAAACAGATGCACTTTTGTGTTGGTTTGTGCAGAGCTGAAGGAGCCTGTGGGACAGATAGTGTGCACCGATAAAGGGATCTTAGCAGTGGAGCAAAACAAAGTTCTGGTTCCACCTACCTGGAGCAAAACGTTCGCCTGGGGCTACGCCGACCTCAGCTGCCGCTTGGCCAACTATGAATCTGATAAGGTGAGTAATAAGCTTCTTAACGCCTTATTTCCTCAGGGACCTCCTTATTTTTATGTTTAAAAGAGGTGGATTTATTTAAGGATGCTAAGATAATCTGAGGTCTCCTTAAATAGAAGTGAATCATTAAAGCAATGTTTCCCCCTGCTGGTGCTTCAGTTATTGCAGGCCAATTTTTTTTCTTTCTTTTGAAATCAGTTATAATCATCTCCCATGTCTGGAAGAGTGTAATAATTTAGCAGAGGGAATTTAGCAGAGTGCTTTAATTCTAGTCCTGAATTAGTTTTCTACAATTTAATTACAAATTCAGATATTTAAAGGACCTTTGCTGCGGTGATTTATATTTCCCTTACATTATTTATTCTTTTATTTTCTCTATTAGACGCCAAGTCAAACATAGTCTGTGATCAGTGTTTTGTTTCCTTACTAAGAGGGAGCAGACTTAAGCTCCTTTGTAGCTTTAAGACATTCTTTTTCTGTAAATCTCCCCATCATGATGAACTGAAGTAGATAAATCACCCCAGCAGGGTGCCGGAGCAAACAAAGCTGGATGCAAAATAAAAAAAAAGGCCCCTTTATCTTATTCTTCGTCATTCCAGGTGTTTTAGTCCGACATCCACATTTATCTGTGGTGTTTCTTGGACAATCCTTGCATGTGTCTGTAAACACCTCTGGGCTTCACAGCAGAGCCGATCAGAGCTGCATGCAGTGTAAATTAGCGTTTATACGTCATTGCATTAAAGCTGGTTTCACAGGGTAAAGATCACGTCCTGTAGTGTACGGGGGTAACGAAGGATCAGCCTCTCACAACCACGTCCTGATCTGGAATCCTAAGGTTGGGAGAAAATCAAACATGTTTGAAATTCAGTCGGCCGTAGTAAGATCGCATCAGAGCGTCGGGCCTCACAGTGACATGCATCATGAGCTCACTTCTGTCTGGCAGTCTTGTCCCCTGATGCCGCTTGGCTCCATCAGCCAGTGTCTCTGTTCTGTCCTTTTTTGTTAGTAGTTTGTTTTATGTTTATTATGTTACAACGGTAATTCACCCTTTTCATTCGAATTTCATTTGTATTCCAATTACCTACGGGAAATTTTTTGGTTTAAGATAAAACCATGTTCATGTTAACTTCTAGTTTAAAGCGCAGAAGTTGTGTGCTCCTTTTTGCTGCAAACTTTCATTTAAAAGAAATTAGGTTCCCCTCAGTATCGTCTTAGTGAATCGGTGTTCAGATAACTGCTCCCTAAAAAAGGGATTGTGTTAAAGTGCAGGAGAAAAATGTCCTCACTGCAAGATAGTCTTTTTCAAAATTAATCATTTCCTACGACTGTAGAAATATGCTTCATCACGGGTTATAAATACACAAGGCTCATTGGAGTTGCCTTAAAGCTTGAGCATGTTTGACACAAATTGAACCCCATACTTTTGAACCATCGTCTCATCTGAGATCGCCTGCCTTGTTTCAGGCGATGGTCGTGTACGAGTGTCTGTCCGAGTGGGGTCAGATCCTCTGTGCCATATGTCCTAACCCGAAGCTCGTCATCACCGGGGGCACCAGCACTGCCATCTGTGTGTGGGAGACGGGCAGCTCCAAGGAGAAGGCCAAATCTCTGACGCTCAAACAGGTGAACAAGCTGTTTTCTCCGAATCATCAGGTTACTAATGTCAGTGAGGACAACTTTGTTAAAAGAAAACTTTTCTATGTTTCTATATATGTGTTTTAGGCTCTACTCGGCCACACGGACGCCGTAACATGTCTGACAGCTTCGTCAGCATACCGCATCGTTGTCAGCGGCTCCCGCGATCGAACCTGCATCATCTGGGACCTCAACAAGCTTTCTTTCGTCACGCAGCTTCGGGGACACCGCGCTCCCGTTTCCGCCCTGTGCATCAACGAGCTGACGGTGAGTTTCTACCTGGATGACCTAACGTGCTTCCCTCCTGCTGTGATAAAGACAAGGTGAAATGATTTCCACAGGGGGATATCGTGTCCTGTGCGGGGACGTACATTCACATGTGGAGCATCAACGGCAGCCCCATCGCCAGCGCCAACACCTTCACCGGCCGCAGTCAGCAGATCCTCTGCTGCTGCGTGTCGGAGATGAATGAGTGGGACACGCAGAACGTCATCGTCACCGGCCACTCTGATGGAGTCGTCAGGGTAACGAAACCTCATCTCTCTGAAGCAGCCTTTGAAATTGTTTTAGGAGCTTAACCTTTTTCTTATTAGCGTGTGGTTAAAATGCGTTACAGTTTTGGAGGATGGAGTTCCTTCAGGTCCCAGAAACCCCTGCTCCAGAACCGGCGGAGCCGGATGTACCCGACTGCTGTGCCGATGAGAAGATTGGTGAGAAATGTTTTTCACAAATGCATGCCTTAATAAATTTTTTTGTGTGTCAAATTACAAACACACAAAAAACTAATTATTCGTATTCTTGGTATTGTTGTATATAATTAGCCAAAAGTGAAGAATACTTTGATTCCCCTTTGAGCTACTTTTTTTGGGATTTTTAATGAATACATTTCATCACAGTGAGTAAAGTTGAATCTTCTCCTTCATCTCAGAGGGAGCAGAGAGTCACAACGCCGATGACGATAGTAGTGAGTCAGATGGAGAGGAACCTGCGGCGCCTCGAAACCCATCAGCTGGCGGAGGGAGCGGCAGTCAGCCGGGAAGCGCCGTCCACAGACCCAGAGGTACGTAGCCATCAGCTCTGCTTAAGTACTGGGATGTTAAAACAAAATGTTGTTAACCATACTGACCTCTATCTGTTTATATTCCCTGATAAGGTCCGCCATCTCGAGCTGGAGCGTCATGGTCAATGGACAGCGGCTCTGATGACTCTCACCGCTGGTCAGACACACTGAGCATCGATGAGAAGGACGGCTTTGTGTTCGTCAACTACTCTGAGGGCCAAACTAAAGGCCCCCACCCTCAGCAGAGTCATCCTGGCCATGGACCCCTCCATCAGCCTCCCCATTCGTCGGCCACAGAGCCACGGCCGTATAACCAGCTCAAAGCAGGTGGGAGGCCCTCTGGAATTATTTTACCTCCTTCTCCCAATGTTTTAACCCCTTCCAGACAAAGGTGGTTTGATGAGTGTTTTTATTTGTGTGCTTGCAGGATACAGATGGGAGCGGCAGCTGGTCTTCCGGAGCAAACTCACCATGCACACAGCGTTCGATCGCAAGGATAATGCTCACCCAGCTGAGATCACCTCCCTCTCTATCTCCAAGTAAGAGAGCAAGGAGTTTTTGTGTTAATATTACAGATAAAGCTGATACCTAAGCAATCTAAAAACACCTACAAAGATAAAAAAAAAAAACTTGAAATGAACTGAAGAAACTCCTTTAAAAGCAGATTGTTTTTCTATTATCAGGACACTAAACTCTGAAAGGCGTTGCTGCGTATGGAAGGTTTAAGGTGACAAAATAAATAGAGGCTGGGGCTTCTCATTAATGTGGTGAAAATAAATGAAAAAAACTTTTTGAAGTTATTTCCAACTTCTCAACTATCATTTTGAGTCGAGTAAAAAAAAAATTCAGTTAGTAGCAGCCAATCAGAAGTCAGTTTTGTATGGAAGCAGCTATAGTCCCGCCCACCGAGTTTGATGGGTGAAGTTGACATTTTTAAAGGATTTCATGATGAATCTGCAGCGCCGATGGCATCAAATAAATACATAAATGTGAAATAAATTAGTGAAATGATGAAATATAAATTAACCTATTTTTTTAAATGACATTTAACTATTGATTGCCATAAGTTAGACATTTATATTTAATTATATAATTGGAAATTTAGCTATGCATTTAATTTTATAATTCATAATTTAATGTTACATTTAATTGTTTATTGCTGTATTACATAGGTGGACCATTTAATTATTTGAGGAACCATTTAATAAAATGTTTATTTATTTAAATGTAAGATTTAATTATCTTATGGTAGATTTGTTTTATTTTGTGTTTCATTTAATTAGTCATGTATTTAATGGTCTATTAAATAAATAAATGGTACATTTCTTTATTTCATTGTACATTTATTTATTTTAAGTGTGATTTAAAATAATCATTTGATTTTTTTAATGGTGTATTAAATGAATAGATAGTACATTTAATTATTGAATGGGCCATTTAATGGTGCATGTATTTATTCATAGTACATATAATTGTTTTATTTTATAGCTCAACCAGTTTGTTAAGCTGTGGCTGGTATATCCATCCTGTGGCAAAGGTTCATATTTGCTTCCCTTATCTTCCATTAATCACTGCTGTGTTTCCCTGCTTCCTCCTTCCTACAGGGACCACAGCAAGATCCTGGTTGGCGACGGCCGCGGTCGGGTGTTTATCTGGTCTGTGAGCGACCAGCCTGGCCGCTCGGCGGCCGACCATTGGGTTAAGGACGAGGTGGTGGACAGCTGCTCTGGCTGCACGGTCCGCTTCTCCTTAACAGAGCGACGCCACCACTGCAGGAACTGCGGGCAGCTCTTCTGTCAGAGGTAAGACGATTACCCATCACAGTTCTCACAGGCTTTGTTCTTTTGATCCACTGATCCTCTGGTCTTAAAGGACATTTAGGAGCTTTAAAGTTAATCTTTATCTACTCCTGTTTTTAACCTTTATCATGTTGGAAAGCCCACCTGTATCCCAACTTTAAACTATCTAGCTTCAGTTTGAGACTTTTTCAGGGTTTCCGCAGGTCATTAAAAATCATTAAGTCATTCAATTATTATTTTTTAATTGGCATTAAAATTCATTAAATGAGACAATTGTGGCATTTAAAATGCTTTATTTAAAAAAAAAAAAAAAAAAAAAAGGTTAGGAAAACATTTTTTTCAGATATATATATATTAATATGTTTGCATGGAACTGCTTATGGTTGATCATAAAGCCGTATTTTCAGAAAAGAAGCTTGAGAAAAAGCTAGAGAATCGGAAAATGCTAATTTCAACAAAAGTGTCTAGAAAGCGAGGAATGCGGGACATGGTTGCAGTCTGTCGACGGTAAAGATGACAAAGGATTTCGCCGTGTTATATATGAGAGTCATGGGTTCTTGTTGATAGCATTAAAATTATTTCTAAGAGCATTAAAAAGCATTAAAATACAGTTACTAATTCCTGTATAAACCCTGTTTTTGCTAAAACAGCTAAAACCATCAAGTAAAACATACTTACACCCAAAATAAATCTCTGGTATTTTTATCCCCGCTGAACAATAAATTAACCACACAAAATTTGCCCTGAAATAAACAAAATGGTGCACCTCAGGGCTTTCTCCTTGGCCTTTTGTTATTTTGTATTTAATTTATGTTAAAAAGCTAATAAATTTGTTTTTTTTATTGGTATTGTACATTTACTGGGGGTTAGTAGAAATAGAGAGAAACATTTACAAATGCAGTAAGAAAGAGGCAAGAGTTGGAGCTGGTAAAGGAAAAACCTCCACGTTTTGTTGCCTTGTGTTGCAGGTGCAGTCGCTTCCAATCTGAAATCAAAAGGCTGAAGATTTCCTCTCCCGTGCGAGTGTGTCAGAACTGCTACTACAACCTTCAGCATGAGCGCAGTGTCGACGACGGCGGCAGAAACTGAGCCCCGCCTCCTTTACATCTGCCTCTGTTTGGGGAGCAACCGCTTAAAGAGTGCTTCATCCCTCCATCTGCCCTCCATGTAATATATAAACATCCCCGAATCCAACCTTTCTAACCCTCTCAAATGTAAGAATGTTTAGTTTGCATGGAGATGGGAGCCGGATCAAAAGGAAAATGTGGGAAAGAAACTCAGCCATCACTTTAACCACAAGCACTCATCATCAGGAGGAAAAGAGAGCAAAGAGGCTCGTCTGAATCAATCACGCGCCATTTTCACTTAGCAGCGGGAGCAGATATCGTCCTTCAGTCACGGGAAACAGTAAAAGACTTGTTTATAGTGTAAATACTTAACCACGGCCTTTTTAACTCTGGAAACACGATGGAAATTTAAGTTCTTTAGGAAAACAAGAGCTTGCTTGTAACTAAGCGATGTGACTAACCACTCCTTGCTTTAAAAGAAAAACAACAGATTGTGTGTAACCTGCGTCACAAGCCACAGCGATTCCAGAGATGGAGGGAGATGAATGTCAAAAGTTTTTAGTCTGTGGGTCGAGGTATGCAAAAATCTTTTTTTTTATACTCAATTAATTTCCACATGATGTTGTTTACAAGATTTAAGAGAGATGGATCATAGAATTACCCTTTTTTTTTTGCCAAATAGAACTTATCTCCTCTGTCCTTATATGTTTTCCATTTGGAGGATCTTTATCATGGTTGCTGCTGCTTTCTCTGAAGACTAGATGTTATCAGTTTAAACTGTCAACATATCACTCAGTTTTGTTTCTTCTGTTTGTAGGAGTTCTTCAAAAAGCCTGACTTGTTTTTTCACATTGCCATGAAAGTAGCTTTTAAAATGCACATAGAAAAAGGGGCATCTTAGTTTTTTTCACATTAAAAAAACCTTTACATGTATTCAGCTCTCAACACAAGCTGTGTTGGCTACTGCTCCAGCTGCAGCCAAATTTAAAAGCATACGTAAAAGATCCATCATTAATATGTTTTATCTAAAAAGCTTGGACAAAAACCGCTGTGTTCAAAAATGTATGGGTTATTATACTCTGTTATGAAGTGATCCTGAATAAGTATATTGTGGTCATATGTTGTCCTTCTAGCACAGCAGACATGGAGAAGGGAATTTTAAAGGGACTACGCCAGTGTATCATTATTTGGTAACTTCTATCAGTTCAGAGTTATCCAAAAACAGGAAAGGTTGCCACATTTTAACACATTTTTTTTTTATTAAATGCAGTGTTTATTCCACTAATGTCCCGTTTTTAAATTTGAAATTAAAGAACAAAATTTGATGAATCCCCAGCTTATCCATAGTTTTACTTGTGATGATGTTTTATTTAGTTTACATTGTTTTTAAATTTTATTTGCTCTGAGTTGGATCTGACAGGTACAACGGTTTGCTGATGACTAAACCATATTTTTTAAACATTAAGTAATCCACCATCTGGATTTTTAAAGCTACAAAACTTTTGGTTACTAATCCCAGGTTTGGACCAATCATTATAACTATGAGGTGAAGAGCGAGTGAGAACAAATTCCAGTGAGGAACTTCCAAAGCAGGACGTCAGAACAGAGCCTCTGCTTCTCTGCATCGAAAGTAGATCAGTAAGGTGGTTCAGGTATTTCATCAGGTTGGGTCTCTTTGGAGGTTTTACTTGACCTATCCTACTATGAGACCCAGGAAAAATAAATAAATAAAAAAATTCCTGTTGAGACAATATGTCTATTTTGTAGTACATACATCTTAGGATCCTTCAGAATAAACTGAAGATTGCATTATTCTCACACCAATAATAAGGAAAGCTAAGGATAATTTAACCCAAAAAGTTATGATCTGGGGTCTGCAACCTGTGATTTTGGAGCCTCATTAGGCTCTTTGAACTCTTTAGTGGCAAAAAGGCATAATAGCAAATAACACAAGTGACTCTGAAATGTTTTAGATGTACAGTTAATAAAAGGACACGAGTTTAAATGTTTTATCTGTATTTTTTTCATTCCTTATCTGCTTTGGATTTACAAAAGGACACTAATGATATGTGCTCCGTGTTCATTTTACATAAATATTAACATTTTATATAAAACATGAAAATAGAAATTTTATTTTAATACTTTCTCTGTGTTCATATTAATAAATACTTTTTTTTTTCTTTCAAAGGTACCTGCAGGTTTTGTATCTCTAGAGCAGGGGTCTATAAACCTGCTGCTCCTGAGCTGTAAGTGACTCTTTGGATTTTTAAAAATGATTTGAAGAACCAACTAATGGGTCTAAATAGAGATATTTTTAAATTCTGGTTTAATATTATAACACTTTACTACAGAATAACACTAAAATTACCATTAGGTTGGAAATTGAGGGTTATGTTGCTTGACCCTTTAAAGATAAAGAAATGAAACAGCTTTTCTTAAAAATTGAGAACAAATATAAAGATAAAATTGGCATTTATAAAATCTTTAAAATCTTTTTAAAGATTGTGTAATGTTTTGAACATTTCTTTCAGCGGAACTGAGGGTTAAAAGTTAAAAGTGCCCCTTTGGATTTTGAAGGTTGCAGATCCCTCATCTAGACCATTTTCCTTTACAGGATAGAAACAGTTCTTTGGATTAGAAAGATGACCCCTAATCCAAATCTAACATAATCCCACATTTAATTTTGTCTGCCGTTTATTTTTTTACTTTAGATGAGCTGTTTAATTGCAGTGTGTGATTCAGCAGTTTGATGTCAAGAATCTGGTTAAATGTTTTTATTTTGAAGTCATTTTATTTTCCATACCTTTCTCTTTTTTTAAATCCGTTTCCTGTTGTTATCAATGTCCTTTTAATGCTTCAGCTTTACATTCAGTGAAAGCTTGTTTTGGAGAAATCTGATCTCCCACAGATCCCAGCTATTTGTCATAAAGTCACGCACTCCTGTTACCTTTGGTTGTTTCCGTACTGTAGCTCATAGTGCAATCATTATCATCACAGTGGTGACGCCATCGCTCCGAAAAGGCCGAGTTCCTTTGCACAAACAAAACAAAAAAAACGAGCAAAAAGAAATCAGGAGTTTTTACTGCAGCAGGTTTACGTTTTCATTTCAATAGAGAGGTGCATTTCACTGCAGATAAATGAACTGTACAGAGTATTTATGCAATTATAACTGCGTTTAGATTTTTTTTAATGATTTCAGCAAGTTTTGTTACTTGTTGCATGTTTTATTAACACAGCTGACTTTCTGTGTCAGTGTATTGTACATGTTAGATTGTTTTTTTTTTGTTGTTGTTGTTGTTTTGTTTTTTTGCTGGAATTATGCTTTTTAACTCTGAGGCATTGTCTGATGAACAGCCGACCGACACAGATCCCATCCCCGGCTCCGGGTGGACTTTTGTACTCTTTACGAAAGAAAAAAAAAAACAACAACTATGAACTGATTATGAAATAAAGAAGAAAAAAGAAGAAAAACCTGACTTATTTTGGTGGTCTTGTATTAGACTGCGTTACTACAGTATCTGGTGTGCAATCTGTGATAGCTGAATGTTCCTTGTATCTTTGTGTTCACTACATCCTACAAAAGAAAAATGGAAAAACAAAAAAAAAAGTAGAGTAACATCCACGTCCCTGTTACAGAAGCAAAATGGTTCAATAATGCAATAGAGCCGGCACTTATTCTTTTTCATTTGAGTTCAATAAATAATTGCTGTTTACCACCAAAGGTCCTTGTTTCTGATTTCATTTTCCCATCTAGGACCCCTGGCCCCCAGCTAATAAAGGGGTGTTAACAAAGATATTAACATCAGACGGGGGTATACAGTATAAGCAATATTGCAGATGTTACTGTAGTACCAGAATTGCTTGTGTTTATTGGCCAGGGGTGGTAAAATTGATAAGGAAGCCCAAAGACGCACATAAGAAAAACCAAATCTGGATAAGAAAAGTTCCACCGGTTTTTTGTTAATTATTTTTCTGCCCTGAAAGGTTAAAAAAAAAAAAAAAAAAAAAGATGTAATGGCTAATTTTTGCATTTCTTTGCATTTGTAACACTTTGTTCTGCCACTAGAGGCGCTAAAGTGAAAGCACATACCTTCACTAACAGGTGTATTCTTCATACACTCACCGGCCACTTTATTAGGTACCCCATGCTAGTAACTGGTTGGACCCCCTTTTGCCTTCAGAACTGCCTCAATTCTTTGTGGCATAGATTCAACAAGGTGCTGGAAGCATTCCTCAGGGAGTTTGGTCCATATTGACATGATGGCATCACACGATGGGCTCTATGCACACAGCTCCACTACTTCCTGAATTTAAGGCAGCTCCTTTGTTTCCTGTCTTTCATTACTGGACGAA